GAGTAAGACCCTGTCTCAAAAAAAAAAAGTAAATAACAAAACAAAAATAATAGCTAACATTTTCATGTAGCTCTTGTTCTGTACCAGGCAATGTTCTAAGCACTTTACATATATTAACTTATTTAAGTTCACCCTATGAGTACCTATGAGGTAGCCACTGTTATCCTTATTCTATATATGTGGAAATTGAGGCAGAGGGAGATTAAGTGACTCGTCTGGGTCTCACAGGAATAGCAGAGCCAAGATGAATCAATCAATTAATGCAGCCATTTGCGATGCTCTGCCTTAGCGGACAGAAACACATGCTATTTTTTGCTCTAACAATGTAGAAATAGACTTTCCTCTCAGTAGTCCACTTCAGACCTCAGTCCTGAGTGCTCATCAGTATTCACACAAATACAGGCTTCTCCCCCTTGCTATGTGGCACTTTGTGCTTATTTATCACTTACAAGGCACACCATTTGTCACATTGTATCTGCCATTTCTTTCTTATTGTATATATTTATGGGGTACAACATGATGTTTATATATATATATATACACACACACGTTGTGAAATTATTAATTTAAGCTAATTAACATATGCATTACCTGACCAACTATCATTATTTGCAGTGAGATCATTTAAAAATACTCTTAGCAATTTTCAAGTGTACAAATACATTAGTATTAACTATAGTTGCCATGCTGTACAACACACATCTACAGAACTTATTCCTCCTGTGTAACTAAAACTTCGTACGCTTTGAGTACCTGCTATTTCATTAGAACACCACACACACATACACACACACACACACACACACACATGCATGCATGCACACACACACACAGACACCTGGGTTGTCCTATATAAGCTGTGTTCTTGGGAGTGTATTTAGGTAGTCGGCTAAAATAGATTGATGGGTTGATTTACTTATTTATTTATAAGACAGGGCCTCACTTTGTCATCCAGGCTGGAGTGCAGTGGTGCAGTCACTGCAGCCTCCACCTCCTGGGCTCAAGCAATTCTCTCACTCAGCCTTCCAAGTAGCTGGTCCTGCAGGCACACACCACCACACCCAGCTAATTAAAAATACATATATATATATATATATTTTTTTTTTGTAGAGAAGGGGCCTTGCTATGTTGCCCAAACTGGACTTAAACACCTGGCCTCAAGATATCTTCCCACCTTATCCTCCCAGAGTGCTGGGATTGCAGGTGTAAGCCACTGTGCCTAGCCTGATTTGTTGTTTTTTAATTCATTTTCAGAATTATATTTAGCCAATTTAAAGGATAATTTTTAAATGTTTATATTTAGTATAAACTTTTTTTTTGAAACAATCTCAAACTTACAGACAAGTTGCAAGTGGAGTTCAAAAAACTTTTCTTCTGGAAGAAATCATTTGAAAATAAGTTTCTAGGGCCGGGCGCGGTGGCTCAAGCCTGTAATCCCAGCACTTTGGGAGGCCGAGGCGGGTGGATCACGAGGTCAAGAGATCGAGACCATCCTGGTCAACATGGTGAAACCCCGTCTCTACTAAAACTACAAAAAATTAGCTGGGCATGGTGGCGCGTGCCTGTAATCCCAGCTACTCAGGAGGCTGAGACAGGAGAATTGCCTGAACCCAGGAGGCGGAGGTTGCGGTGAGCCGAGATCGCGCCATTGCACTCCAGCCTGGGTAACAAGAGCGAAACTCCGTCAAAAAAAAAAAAAAAAAAAAAAAAAAAAAAAAAAAAAAAAAAAAAGTTTCTAACCTGAAACCCCAATACCCACAAGTACTTTAGCATGTATTTCCTACAAACAAGAACATTTTCCTGCAAACCCACAACACAACCATTAGAATTAGAAAGCTAACACTAACACTAATACTACAATACAATTTCATCCTCAGACCCCAATTGTCCCATTTATGTCCTTTATAGATCCAGTTAAGGATCACATATTGCAGCCAGGCGCGGTGGCTCATGCCTGTAATCCCAGCACTTTGGGAGGCCGAGGCAGGTGGATCACTTTAGGTCAGGAGTTCAAGACCAGCCTGGTTAACATGGTGAAACCCCATCTCTACTAAAAAATACAAAAATTAGCCAGGTATGCTATTCAGGAGGCTGAGATAGGAGAATCACTTGAACCTGGGAGGCGCAGTTTACAGTAAGCGGAGATCAGGCACTGCAACTCCATCCTGGGCAACAGAGCGAGACTCTGTCTTGTGGGGAAAAAAAAAAAAAAAAAGATCACATACACATATTGCATTGGGTTGTCCTGTCTCTAGTCTCCTTTAGCCTAGAACCGTTCCTCAGTCTTTCCTTGACTTTCATAGCCTTGACATTTTTGAAGATTACAGAGCAGTTATTTTATAGAATGTCTCTTAATTTGGAGTTGTCTGATATTTTCTCATGATTAAATTCATGAGAAATTATTAAATTCAGGTTACATGCCTTCAGCAAGAATATTACAGAAATTATGATGTGTTCCTCTCATTACATTATTATTTGTTCCTTTACTGTTAATATCAGCTTTAATCATTTGATTAAGGTGCTGTCTGCCAGGCATCTCCACTATAAACTTACTCTTCTCTTTATAATTAATGAATATTCTTTGTGGAATCACTTTGAAACAATGTAAATAACCCATTCTTTATCAGATGTTCTATTTATTAATTTTTATTAGCATGGACTTATGATATCCTATTATAGTCAATGGGTTATAATCCCTTAGATGATAGATATTACTTATTTGATGCTCAACTTGAGCAGTGAAATCTCCTTCAAGAGCAATCTTTTGGTCTCTGGCTCAACAAGATGTTCCAAAAGTTTTAACTAAAATTGGAATTAGTCTTATCTCTGGAAACCCCTGATCCTTTTTAGTAGAAAATGACATTCAAAAATCTGGGCAAAAATTGTGCTTATTGCTTTTGGGTGGTTGGTTGCTACTGCAAGTGCCCCCCCTCGCCCCCCCCTACACACACACCCCTATCTATTTTTAGTGCTATATTTATCTTATTTAATTTATTGTATTTACTGAAAGCCATGAGTTCACATACATAGAACCAATTCTAATCTAACATCATAGAATTCATTGTAGTTTTCTCCCTTTCCATTAGACAGCAAAAATCTTAACTTCCCTTTATCTTGAGATCTTTCCTTTTTAATCAAGCCTCTTGTTTGTAATGGGTCTCCCATGACTGCTGCCAGGTCTCTCCTGCCTAGAGGGCCTCTTTATCCTGCCAGGCTGCCCCCATGCCTAGTGACCTTCCCACCCAGGTTGGGCACTGGCACTCCCCACCAGAAGCCCCCCTCCTCATGAATGTCCTCCCTACCCCACTCAAGGGTTCACCCCTGTGTGGCAGCCTCTTCCTCCCACATAGGGTCTGACTAACCTAGTCAGGTGATCAGGTTGACCCCTAAAAGGATACTCCTCACACCCTGCTTGAGACCTGGTTCCCCCTTGAAGCCACCCACCTCACAATGTGATAACCACCTTGCTCTGTCACAATCCTGACTTTATAACTGAACCTTTTTTTTCCTTTTCATTTCTTTCTTTCTTTCTTTCTTTCTTTCTTTCTTTCTTTCTTTCTTTCTTTCTTTCTTTCTTCTTTCTTCCTTCCTTTCTTTCCTTCCTCCCTTCCTTCCTTCCTTCCTTCCTTCCTTCCTTTTCTTTCTTTCTTTCTTTCTTTCTTTTCTTTCTTTCTTTCTTTCTTGACAGAGCCTTGCTCTGTCACCCAGGCTGGAGTGCAATGGTGCGACCTTGGCTCACTGTAACCTCCGCTTCCCAGGTCCAAGCAATTCTCCTGCCTCAGCCTCCTGAGTAGCTGGAACTGCAGGCATATGCCACCGTGTCCGGCTAATTTTTGTATTTGTAGTAGAGACAAGGTTTCACTATGATGGCCAGGCCAGTCTCAAACTCCTGACCTCAGCTAATTCGCCCGTGTTGGCCTCCCAAAGTGCTAGGATTACAGGCATGAGCCACTGCACCCAGCCTATAACTGAACTTTTCAGAAAGGGAAAGGGAAAGAGAAAGGCAAAGGAAGCCAAAGGTTACATTTTAAAACATCAGCATTGTTCAGAAGAGAAACTTTTTTCTCAAACTGCTAGAAAAAGGTTCTCAGCAAGTCAAAGCACTGTTTTTAAAAAGGATAACAATTTTAACCATGAAGAAAATGTTGGGCTGGGCGCGGTGGCTCACACCTGTAATCCCAGCACTTTGGGAGCCCGAGGCGGGTGGATCACGAGGTCAAGAGATCGAGACCATCCTGGTCAACATGGTGAAACCCCGTCTCTACTAAAAATACAAAAAGTTAGCTGGGCGTGGTGGCGCGTGC